AGCATTAATATTACTTCCAATAACATCGGCAAAGTACGACATCTAGACACGAATTTTTCTGGTAATCAGTATACCCTCAATCGAATTCATTAAACTTAAGTAGCTAAAGGCTGATTTGTACGTATAAAGTATTCAGGTAATAAAAATAACTTTAACTTAACTTTAATGCATGTAAATGGCAAATTTGATAATAACTTTTTGCAACTTATTTAGTAATATTTAGTAATAGTATAGTAGTAGTGTAGTATAACTTATATAGTAACTTATTTAACTAAATTTACCAAGTTAAAATTAAGTTAAGTGATTGCTTTGGCTCATAGAGATATACATTTATCCTCAACTAAGATTCAAAATGCTGATGCGTGTTCACCTCTGAAGACTAGGATGCAATGCCTCGTTTCCAGTAAAAATGGTCTCCGGTTCTCTACACTTACTATACGAAACACAGTAGCATAAACTGCTATTTTTTCGCTAGTATTAAAGAGCGTGCTCCTATCCGATGGAGCGGACCTATTCGTGCTGCAACCATATTAATAAAGTTACTAAATATCGCATAACGGTCTGTTATAAATACACTGTTCTTAAAACAAACATTAATAGTAATAGTATAACAGTTATCACAGTGGCTAAATAATAGGACGGTTAATGAGATTTTTCTGCCACCAGGGCAGCGCCACTTTGTAACGAGATGGAATATTTGATAGATTTCATAGTGGGATAGTTATATTGTTAGGGAAATGAAAGTGTTAATCTCTCTTTCTGTAATATTTTATTTATAAGAGCAAATCACTCAGTCTTTGTTTTATGTATGTTTGAGTAAAATGCCGCGCTAGTCGTTATTTGTGAAGTTTTTAGGATCTCCTTGTTATTAAAAAGATATATCAACTAATAAAAAATCTATTAAATTTCTTCATAATCTTGATTCCATAATGGCAAATTCCAATTTTTTTAAAAGGAGTGAATAGTTGATGAATCTTCCTGCAACTAAACCACACAAATGCGAAATAATTATTGATTCTCCTCATAAAGTAAACATTATTTTATTTTGCGATTGACACTCATGGATAGGCAACTTATTAATGAACATTTTGATCTATTTTTTTCTAAAAAGATCATTTTATAAAGAAAATTTTTAAAATTTGGGCATATTTCTTACGCGTTATATTGTAGCAACAGCGCGTGGAATGAATACGACCGAACGCTCAAGGTCGTCCGCTAGGAGTAGCGCCTTAATATAATACTCTAGAAAATTGTAAACTTTTATTTAAAATTAACTTCTCAATTAAATTACATTATGTAACAAAAAAAAAATTGGTTGTCTGTAAAGTCGGTTTACGGACGATAGTTTAACATGACAACGTCATAACAAAACATTGACGAAATAGATGTAAGTTGTGTGCTGTCGCTGTCTTTCTTCTCCTCGGATGCATAGGCCAATCGAGTGGAAGAGAGATCAAGCACAAAAAAGAGAGAACAAGAGCAGCACAATGCGAACGCTCAAGCCGATCGTGCCTTTCGCTCGCTCGTGCAGCGCTCTCGCTCCGATCGTAACGTTTCAATGAGCGTAACGTTACAATGAGTCATCCTTTTTCGTGCGTGCAGCCAGCGTTCATCGATTTATTAGACGTTGTCTCGTCAAAACTTCAACTCAGTTCCAACTAGGTGAGGTCTGGTGAGCGAAAGATTATTATTAGTCAACAGATTATAATTAGCAGTATGCTCAACTTTTTAAACACATATTTAATAAGTACTTACGTTTTATTTTCCTACACGAGTTTTGGTTTTCTGAACACCCAAAGTCTCGGCATTTGGCCAACAACTGAGTTGATTTGTTTACAATAAAGTATTTTCCTTCAAATGTCTTTGATCCCGCGCATCACAGTGACCGAGTGAAGTCAGCCACAGTCGAGCGTGTGCTTGCTGTACTATCGTCTGTCAGAGGTGTCACAGATAAGATTCATTCCTCTAAAAGATGCAGAAGTGTACAAGCTTGATTGTTCATGTGGTCTTTCATATATAGGACAAACAAAAAGATCAATTAGAACCCGCGTGAAAAAACATATAGCTGACATTATAAATCAACGCTTCGGTAACTCTGCAGTTTGTGATCATGTCCTAGACGGCCCTCGCCATTACATCAGATTTGATAGACTACAAATCCTCGCGAAAGGACACCGATTCCTACCAAGGATGATACGTGAGGCTACTGAAATTAAAAAAAAACATTCTAATTTTCATAGATAAGGAGGCTGGGTACAACCACCTGCTTAGGATCCTGTAATTAATAATATTAAATTTAAACCCAAGCATACCACTGCAAGACATCAAGACACAGTAAGTTTATTCTGCATAAATCGGACCATAAATAATAATTAAAAAACTGAAGGTACTCCGGGTTAACACCGACGTCGTGACACTGTCACCTCAGTCCGCCGGGATCATGGTTGCCGGAAAGCACCCGCCGCGTTGGGAATTATAAAAGCAAGTAAATTAAATTCAATAAAATCCGGAAGTAGTTTTAATCAATGTGTAGAATTCGCGTAAATATAAGAAATCATAGTGTCTTAAAATTCTTTTTAACCGGAAATAAATCACTTCAGATATAATTCAATTTTTGCATTATAAAGTTTAGTCTGAACAGTGCCATACTAAGACTTAAATAGGAGTAAAAGTCATAAAAGCGTAGAAGTAGTAACACGTAAGCGTCTCCTTTTTTCATCATAGTCGTGTGAGACATTTTAAGCCTTTGTTTGGGAATGAATTTTGTAAAAATAGGAATAATGGACTTCTTTTGTTACTAATGAGTAAAAAAGCAACATATGTAGAAAATGGTTGCTTAAACGTGATTGTGTTGAATAGTTACCAAGTTGGGAATTATATCCAAAACCCTCGACCACCGCTTCCCTTATCCAGTCTGTGAGACTGCTTCGGCGTTGTATGTTGGATTTTGCGTCAAATCAGTTGGTTGCAAGAGCTCTATTAGCAGAGAGTGACATGTACAAATGAGCTTGAAATATTAAGAAAAAGTTCATCTACTATATTACATGGAGGAGGCCGTGGAAAAAGCGCGTCGAAACACAAGGCGCCTGAGTAAAAATATTGTTTTTTACATAAAATACGAGCATTTGGCTCACCTGATGGTAAGTGACTACCGTCGCCAATGAACAACTGCAATATCTGAGGAATTGCAGGTGCAATGCCGCCCTTTTAAAAATGAGTAGGCTCTTTTCTTGAAGGTCCCTAAGTCATATCGGTCTGGAAAAGTCGCTGGTGGTAGTCGATTGGAACGAAGTTGTTATGAAGGGAGGAACTGTTCTACCCCGAGAAAGAGCTATTGAGAATGGGCGCTGGAAATGCCGATGTGTTGCAAGTGCTTCTGCTTATATGCAGCGAAGGAGGAAAGTTGTCTGATTTGATTCGATGCGAATCTGTCAAACCCGTCTCTGCACTCACGAGGCAAGTTTGCGGTGACCCTACCCCTCTTATTTTACCGACTATCCCTAAATGACGGTAATGTTGTTCGGGAGTTTAATGTCTATTTTTTTTGGCACGTTGTGTAATCTTAACGGCTTGATGGATTTTAACATATGAGGTGTACTTAGATATGTCTTAATGTGGAAGTGACGTATATTTAGACTATTTAATATTTATATATTGAAGCTGCAAGTATAAAAAGGGAATACAAAAGTTTTTTTCCGGTTTTAGTTTCGCATGTATCTATCTTTGTAACGGAATCTTTTTTCACCAACTTATAGGCAGCCGATTGACTTGAAAATTTGTACTCCAACCACAGACCGATGATAACTTTACCTCTGTATCTGCTCAGGATCACCATGACAAAATAAAATAAAATAATTATCAGGATCATCACAACTCATGATCAAAGCGTGTTATTTAGGTTTTTTTAAACTCAGCTATTATGGTTGAAGCACGAATGGGTCGTCTCGACCGAGGAAGGACCGTTTTCAGAAAATATGATGAAATTGCAGTTTAATTCTGCTATGTTTCGCAAATGAGGCATTTCATTTTAGTCCTCCACGAGTTCTACGGCGAAGAAAAATATCGTAAGAAAATCTGCGTGTCTCAGAAATTAAAAATAATATTTTTAGCAGGGATAGGAGATATCATAATGATATAGAACGATGAGTGAACGCAGGAAATAGAGTAAATGGGGCTCTACACTCTACTGTGGGAAGTCAGAATGTGTCAAAAAAGGCACGTATGGCAATTTACAATGCTGTGTTTGATATTTTATCGTATAGTGGTGAAAGTTGGGTTTGACAGAAGAAGCACGGTGGTAGAATAAACGCCGTAGAAATGCAGTCGTTAAGTAGTATGTTAGGGCAGGATCTGAGTGCCAGGGTGAGAAATTGTGTGATAAAAGAAGAGTGTGGTATGCAAGATGATGTTGTGACGAGGATTAAGAAAGGAAGGCTTCGGTAGTTTGGTCATGTAGGAATAGTGAATGAGGAAAGAGTGACAAAGCAAATTTATGTGGCAGAAGTAAACGGCAGAGTCGGTAAGGGACGCTCTAGGCGAAAGTTTGTCGACCAAATTGGCGACCTATTGAAAAGGGGCCAAATTAAGAGTAATCCTTAACCGACGAGCATGTATGCGTAGGCATATGGATGTGGAAGAGGCGAGAGAGGTGTGTCATGTTCGTGCCAAATGGAAGCTACCCCTCTGGATGACAGGCGTGCTTATGTAATATATGTATTTTGACGGCATGTAAGGTCCACCAACACACATTGAGACAGCGTGGCGGACTTTTCTTAGCCTTAAAACCTTCTGGAGTAATGAGTGCAGGCCTGTGCCCAGGTGTGGAGCGTAGTAAGCTGTAACTTTATCTTCAACGCATCTGAAGTTCGACTCTTAATTAAAGATAGATGTAGGCGCCTATGGGCCACGGCATCCAATTACCAGCAGGACCGTGTACTCGTTTGTCGCCCTTATTCTATATTAAAAAAAAAACTCTTATATTATTTTGTGTTACTCAACAGGGAGTCAGGCGTGTCGTGGGGGCGACGCGGCTGGAGCGGGCGGGGCGGCGGTGCGGGGCGGGCGGGTGGTCCGACCGCGGCCTCGGGCGCGAGGCGGCGCGAGCGCGGGGGCCAGCCGCGGAGGCCCATGGAGATCCTCACCAGCATCTACGCGCTGCTCTCCGGCGGGGTGAGACGCAACCCACCACACCAACAAGATGTAACCACATGCCTGATATACGTACGCGTAGCTAGCTACACTTGCCATGCTTACCAAGTAGACCGACTTGTCCATGGTGCTGGGTTTCCCCGTGCTATCAATTTTGGACCAGTAGATATTAGCAATATTTCTTTTTCCACGGTCGTAAACTATATACCACTCTTTAGGACTTCTACAACAGATCACGGATAGTTTATATTTCTCTGAGGGATCATAAATAGTAGATAGGATTTGAAGTTAACACCACGCTTGGCAGGCAATTTGCCAATCACAGTACTATCGTATTCCTCTGACGCAGCTTTCCGTCTCCAGTTATCATTTTTCCGTCTAGTAAACTTACTTTTTTCATACATTACAGCCCTTCAGAAAACTGCTGACCGTAGGCATAGTAAAAACATAATAGTAGGATTTATCCCACGCCGCGCGAGACTTAAATGCCTACTGTTTCAGGGTCGTCACTGTCTTTTTATTTAACAGCTAATTTTCATTTAGTTTTACATTTAGTTTTATAAGTAGTTATAATATTTACAAACATAATACATACGGATACGTACCCATGCATCATATTTGTAAATAATTTCTTTAGTTTCATCTCAAAGAATTAATGTTTGTCAAAAAAATCTAGCTTAACATTATAATACATACCAAATAACTAAAACTATATATATAACCAAATAAATAAAAAACGAGTAAATTAACGTTGAGCATATGGTGTCAGCTCAGATTAAATGTTTAAAATTAATTTGATCTGATGTGATATGATGATTAATGTACCTATTATGAGGTACGCATCTATGTATAGATATAGTAATATAATATATTAATAAAAATCTAATTTGCTTAAACAAACGCATATATTTATTTATTTTATAAAAAGAAAAAACAAAACGACTGCCAGCAAAATTTTATTAAAAGTCAACAAAATGTCAAACAAAGTGGATAGCGGAGCGCGGCGGTCGGCGTGTCCGACTCAGCCCGATCTTTCCGGCTTAGCACGTATTGTTGTGTGCGTGATGTGGCTCGTGCGTACGAGTCCATACTGACACGTGCCAGGTACATTTCTTAGAAGATAGCCTACTATTTTATTTTTCCTGTGACGTAGGCCTCCTCATAGATTGCACTATCGCTAGATTTTTCCATAATTCCACGCTTAGCAAGCAGGTTAAAACTTGCAGTTTCTTTTTAGAAGTAAAACTTCTTTATCGACTTAGTGGAGAAATTTAGTAAGGTATTAAAATATTTAAAAACGTCACGTTTTGTAACGTTTTCTTGTAGCGTCTCACCGTCGCCGCTGCATTAGTATAGTAGTACATATGATATAAAATACTTATGTGAATATAAAATAAAAGAAGAATGATATTTCGTAAAGAAGTTTCATTTCATACGTGTGTACACAATTACACGCACAATTTTTTAAATTATTATTTTGTTGTTTTCAGGAACATACTGCCCATATTTTCTGTGTGTCATTTTAACTTTGTCGCCTTTTACGACACCTACGGAATGATATGGGGATCTGAATTCTTTTATTCGGCCAATATACATATAGTAGGATATGTATAATAATAATAATGTCCTCCAGACCGAACTTCGGCCACGGCAGCCTGCCTCAGCTGAGGCTAGCCATCGGCGTAGGACAGAATTATAGTACCAAGTGTATGAGTAAGCACAGGTGCACTCTCTATTGTTCACTCTCATAATCCGATGGGACGGTAAACCGACACGACCGGAGAGAGATCAGGCGCAGACCAACGGCTTTACGTGCTTTCCGAGGCGTGAGGGTGAGACACCGCCTTCTTCCTGACTCCCGGCAGTTACTGAGAATTTCTTGACGGAAAACTCAATAATTAGTTTTTTGGACCGACCCGGGATTCGAACCCAGGACCTCATGATCAGCAGTCGTACTACTACAACCACTAGACCAAAGAGGCAGCCGATATGTATATTGGTCCTCCAGATCGATCCAGATTTTAGTCACAGCGGCCAATCTCAAAGGAGACCAATCAGCTCTGCAGAACAGGATGATAGTTCCCAAGTGTATGCGTAAGCACAAGTGCACTCTCTATTCCCTCACTCTCTTAGACCCGACAAGACCGCAGAGAGATCAGGCGCAAGAACAACGTCTTTATGTCTATTGCTTGCACAGGGGTGAAACACCGCCAACTTCTTGACTCCAGGCTGTTATTGAGAATTTCTTATAGAAAAATCTAATAACTGATTTTGACCGTTATTATTTCTTTGAAAAGTATAAAATCTTCACAGAGAAACAAGTCGGATTTCGAAAGAATAGAAGTATAAATTTAGTCGCCTTTCAATTTCTACGTACTGTAATGTCAAGCCTTAACAATAAGCATTTAGTATCTGCTCTATATATGGATTTAACTAAAGTTTTTGACCATGTTAATTACAGTATCCCCTTAAGTAAATAAGAAGCGTACGAAGTCCGAGGAAAAGTCCTCCATCACCTAAAACATACCTAATAAATCGACAACAATTGCGTCCCAAATAGCGAAATATATGTGTACTCATTAATCCATCCGCAAAAAAAAAAGGTGTACTGTTTGTTCTATAATTGATAAACAACGGCAACACCAATTACATCTAGGTTGATATTCGCAATAAACGATTGGAATTTGAAAAAAAAATGTTTTTGGTCTAACCCGGGATTTAAACCAAGGATCTCATGCTGTCGCGTTTAGGACCGCTAGACCAACGAGGCAGTTAGATACCGTACGGAGCTTGTTGTGCGGTGTACGAATACCCACTACCTATATCGTAACGTGAGTGTCATAAGAGCCGACAGAGGGAATCAAATCAGATTTTTCATTCATATTTTCACATATCTTATACAATTCAAAAGTTTAATACAAGAATTAAAACTTTTAAGCAGAATTAAATCTTCAATCTTGTTGTATATTTCTTGTTATATCTTATAACTAGAATAGAAATTATTAACATTTTTACTATCTTATCATCATACAAAATATATCTGAAATATTAATAAATCGCTAGGGTATTATATGAATTTTAGAACTTTAATTAAAATATTATTTTAATTAAAATTCTTAAATAACGATTCGGACTTGCGTTTAAAATAAAAAATATTATTTAAAAAAAATATAAATATTGAATTACCACTAAAATAAAAAGGTGCACTTGCCAACCCGACTGCCACGCATGGTAATTATGGCAAAGAACCTCCTTTGAAGCAATTTTTGGGGACTTTACACGTGGTAGAGCCATGCTGCAACTATGTTATGATTGTAGTACGAATGGATCGGCCCGATCAGGGAAGGACCACGCTCTCACATAATACCCGCATAAAATAAAAGCTTTATATCGCTGTTTCGTATGGTGAGTGTAGAGATCCGGAGACCCTTTTTTACTGAAAACAAGGCATCCCATCTTAGTCTTCAGGGGTGATAAAGCATTTGCCTTTTGTTTCTTAATAGAGGATAAATGTAGATGTCTATGGGCCACAGAATCCACTTACAATCAGGTAGACTGTGCGTTTGTTTGTCACCCTTATTTTACAAAAAAAGATTGTAATAGTAATGGAAATAGGGCATGAAGTCGTGATTCTCCTGTACCTCAAATTTTAAGGTAAGTTTCTAACTTCCCCTTTCTGAACGGATCCTATTTTTCGGTAATTATTACTTACAATATTTTAAAACCATATAGAGTTAGTTTTTAGTAGTTTAGATAATTCCAAAGCTATATTTCCAACTTGTTAATAAACGCATATTTTTAATCAAAAAATTTGATTATTGATCTGTGTTATACCGTAGTAAGTCATATTTTTTTCGCGTGATAAAGCTACGCTGCAGCTATGTTATGACTATAGCACGAATGGGTCAGTACGACCGGTGAAGGACCACGTTCTCGAAGAATACCAGCGTAAAACAGCAGCTTAATACTGCCGTGTTTCGTATGGTCAGTTAGAGAACACGAGACATTCCATATCAATCCTCAGTGGTGACAACACATCTGCATTTTGATTCTTAATTGAGGACAAATATAGATGTCTATGGACCACAACATACACTTACCATCAGGTGGACTGTGTGCTCGTTTGTCACCTCCATTGTGTAAAAAATGACTAAAACCCAAACAAGTGCAATTACCTTAAAAAAATTTATGAAGCCAAATAATTTGAGAGTACCTTACCAAACAGTTCAACATTATGTCATCTAACTAAAACATACATGAGCAACGAACTCTGGTTACAAACAATCCCGAAACTTTGTTACTTTCTAACATATATTTTTACACACATATATTTTATTTTTTTGTAAAAAATAAAATATATGTAAAAAATATATTCAAAGTACACAGGTTAAAATAACAACGATATGTACTTAAAATCTAGAAGCTATTTAGTTCAATTCACGGTGGTTTTACGCTGGAAGAGTTAAACAGTAATGTGGTAGTTTTATTCTTTAAAGGTGATATAAATTTATTAAAGAATTACAGACCGACTTTCGCTATGAGCCGTATCGACGTGCTGGTTGAGTAAATAATTATAAAAACAAAAAACGGATCTATAAGAAGATTGATCTACTTATATCTTAAATATATAAAAGTGTAATAAATTACCATCCATATACGTCCTACCACTAGGCACAGGCTTCCTCGCATTATTTTCTGGGAGGGTTATGGATTATATTTTTCTTATCTGCGAAACATTATTTTTCAGTCATGTTTCTTCGCAAAGTTTCCTTTCACCGCTTGCACGTTGTAAATATTTATTAAAATATCTTTGTATTTATTTATTTCAAATCTTTATCGCACCCCCTTAGAAAAAATGGATACAAAGCTTACTAAATGCATTAAGTTAATTTTAAGCATTTTTCACTGGTAAGCATTTTCTACAAGTCAAACCATGGAGTGGTGAGATTTTGACGCAGGTGTTGTAATTAAAATGAAATAAGAAATGAATAGAATCTGAAATAAATTCACATTTTAATATAACAAAATATATTATTATTTATTTATCCGGTAAGTGTAGTGACCTCCCACACTATCTGGAGGAGCGAGCGTCTTGATGAGCGAAGGGTGCAAGATACCATGCTGTATAGCATTCTTTGGAGATAGTCTGTTTACCACAACTTGCGAAGGACTGTTGTGTATTTGTTGCAATTCAAATAACTACCTCGTATGCGGTAGCGTTCGATATTTCTCTGTCGAAAGCAATATTTCAAACAGATTTTACGAGATTTCCATCACTTGATTAGTTATATTTCTATTTCATCTCTGTTAAATATTTCTACGTAAGTTCTTTTTGTTTTGGCAGACAACCAAACGTATAAATGTTAGACAGATAATTGAAATCAACACAAATCTTCGTCAATAAGTCATTTAAATTGATTGGCCATCATGATCAGCACGACCCTTGAAACAACTGATTTTTAAACATGGGGATCTCACTTGAATTTTAATTTAATTTTAGTTTTAGGTAGTAGAGTTATGCTGCAGCGATATTATAATTGTTACACGAATGGATCGACTCGAACAGGGAAGAACTACGTTCTCACAGAATACCGGCTTAAAATAGCAACTTAATGCTGCTGTGTTTTGTGTAATGAGTGTACAGAACCGGAGACCCTTTTAACTGGAAACGAGGCAGTCCATCTTAGTCCTAAGGTGTGACAACGCATTTGTCTTTTGATTATTAATTGAAGATAGATGTAGATATCTATAGGCCTCGGCATTCACTTACCATCAGGTGGACTGTGTGCTCGTTTGTCACGCTTATTATTCCTATATAAACTAGGAAACACGGTTTTCAGGTATTGCGTCTATTGACTTACTCATTTTCGTAATGAATATTAAAAGGGTAACAAGCGAGTCTCGTTGGTCTAGTGGTTGTAGTAGTGCGACTGCTGATCATAAGGTCCTGGGTTCGAATCCCGGGTCGGGCCAAAAAATCAATTATTGAGTTTTTCCGTCAAGAAATTCTCAGTAGCTGCCCGGAGTCAGAAAGTTGGCGGTGTCTCACCTCCGTACCTCGGAAGGCACGTAAAACTGTTAGTCCTGGGCCCGATCTCTCTCCGGTTGTGTCGGTTTACCGTCCCATCGTATTATGAGGGCGAGGGAATAGAGAGTGCACCTGTGTTTGCGCATACACCCGGGCACTATAATCCTGTCCTGCGCCGATGGTTAGCCTCTGTTGAGGCAGGCCGCCGTGGCCGAAATCGGGTCTGGAGGACATTATTATTATTAACAAGCGAGCACATAGTGCAAATCATGATAAGCGTATGCTTGTAGACGTCTACATTTGTTTGCAAATTCCTTGTCAGCCAGGGACTAAAATCTCTCTTTAGCAAACCTCGTCAGCATATCGTGTAGTGGCGGTGTAAGAATATGTACCACCCCATATCGTCCCGTGGGTGTCGTAAGAGGCGTCAGAGCGAAACTGGAACAGGAGGTGATTAACAGGAATCTTCCTGATAACAGCAAAAACCTACGAAACCAATTCGCCTGCCAAGTGTGGCAACTGTGGCAAAATCCTCCCTGTGAGGCAATCTCTGGAAGTAGCCTATGTTCTGCAGTGGAATTTTATAGGCTGTAAAGGATGGATGTATGGCGGTGCTGTCGTCGCGCCACAAGCAAAACGCACCAAAGCCTAAATCGCGCTATCAAAGTTCCAAAGTTACCGCGCTATATATAGAAAAGCTCCGAAATAACACATGGAGCGTAGGCCGCTCCACGGGCTGAATACCTTGCCCGGCGGCAGATCTGCCCTTTTCCTTCACGGCCACAGTTGAATGAAACTTTGTTAGCAGTAAATAAAATTAGGTATTTGGTTCTCTTCAAAACCATAAACACAGCTGCATATTACGCTTGTATTATATTCTATGAGAGTGCTATTCTTCCTCGGTCGACGTGACTTAATCTCATCTATCCTCGATTACATATCAAAATGCAGATACGTTGTCACCCGTGAGGACTAAGATGGAATGCCTCGTTTCCAGTAAAAATGGTCTCCGGTTCTCTACACTTACGATACGAAATACAGCAGCATTAAGCTACTATTTCATGCTGTATTCTGGTATTCTGTGAGAGCGTGGTCCTTCCCCGGTCGAGCCGACCCATTCGTGCTAGAACTATACTACTAATAAAGCTGCAGCATGGCTCTACCACGTAATAAGCTAGTAATTGGGGAAAAATAAGTGCTTTTTTTCTCTCTTTAAATTTTTAAAAAATGAGGTTCGCCGCTTTGCAGCCTCAGCGGCGAATTATTTGACTTATGCAGCAATCTATGGACACACCTATATTCAACAGTAGACATTTTAGTCTATAATTAATAACTAAAAAAGTTTCATTTTAATATGAAGCAAAGATATAGTATCGTTAAGGCGAGGTAACGACATCGAAGAATCCATTATTTTATCTTATCCCGTGGCTTTCCCGAGGGTGTCGTAAAACTCTACTAATAGAAATGCCAGTGAAATCGCGCGTTCCCGATAGGCCGCAAAAGTTCACTAGCCGTTCCAAAGCCAATACAAATATACAAAGGTAAAGACTAACATATAAATCTACATTATACAAACATATCTACGTACCTACACAAATACATGAGATCAAATGGGAATTTCTTCTTAGTCCTCATAGTGACAACAATTTCTATAGACTTCTTGGTTTAAATTTGGTTACAAATGTCCACGCCACTCTAAATTTAAACTCTCAAATTATTGCGTTTTAAATAATACAACTTCCCGAGTGTAAAGCGGTCTCTCACTAAATGCACTTTCGACTTTGTAAAACTTACAGGAAGTGGATGAATGCGGAATCTTGTTTATCAGTGATGAATGAAATATGTTCATTTTTTTCTACGTAATAAAATAAAGTATCGTTTCCAACGACATCTAATGTTATTGTTTTTAAATCTATCACTACTAGTACTACGATATGAGGTTCCTTTGACTGTGGACATGTATGTACTACGTACGTGAAAGACAGTAATGATAATAATGATAATTAGTTTATGGTGATTGTTCTTTTTACATTTAAGTAAATTAAATAATAATTAAGTAAAGTTTAACATTTAAGTAAAGTATAAATCAATAGGAAACTTTAATAGTTATGCGCCATCTTTAATTTTTTTAGTAAACTAGAATCCACTGTAGATGTTAAAAAATAATAATTTGTAAATAACGAAAAAGTATGTATTTTCTGGGCATTAACCTTTATCGTGTTTACAGCAAGGAGTCAACCCGAAAATTGACTCAGTTGCGTTTCGGCTACACTGTGGGGCAACCACTGCGGCATTACTGGCTGCGAGTGCTGCTCTCACCACGCGCCATCTTGTGGGCAACCCTATAGATTGCATTCACACAAGGTTCGTATCAAAGTAGTAAATAAGTTGTTGTTGTGTTTTTTTCTACTCATAATAGATGGCGTTATTTTTATATTTTGTGACGGAAAATTTTTACGCTGTTTCGCTGCTCTTTTGACTAATACAACATATAAAATATACAATTAGAAATAATTATCAAACTTTATACGTAGTACAACCATGATGCAGCTTTAATGTATTTGTAGCATGAATAGGTAGGTTCGACCCGGAAAGGACCACGCTCTCACAGAATCCAGCGTAAAATAACGGTTTGATGCTACGGTGTTTCGTATGGCGAGTGTAGTGAACCGACGGCCCGTTTCACTGGAAAAGAGGCATTTCATTTTGTCCTCAGGGGTGACAATTGACAATACAAGATGCATTTTGATTCATAATCGAGGATAGTTAAAAGTGGTATTGTGCTTGATTGTCACCCTTATTCCATAAATAAATAAAAAAATGAATATACGACATTTATTACTTTGTTTTAACTACCTGAACTACTGTTAGTTGAACTTAACTGAAAGAATAGAAAACTTTATCATCTAAAAAATATTGTGAGATCCGACAAACAGCGAAATATCATTACAGCCCTTCACAAATCCACTGCTGTACATAGGCCTCCCCCAAGGTATGCCACAAAGCACGGTCCTGAGCCGCCTACATCCATCGACTTCTTGCATGTGTTACAAGTCGTCGCTACATCTAGTGGGGGGACGCCCTACACTTCGCCTGCCAGTACGAGGCTGCCACCCGAGAATCTTTTTTCCCCATCGGTTATTGGTTCTTCTTGCTATGGCCGGCCCATTGCCACTTCAGTTTACTAATCCGTTGGGCCACGTCGGTCACTCCAGTTCTACTGCCGATATTCTTAAGTTTATCACGCAGAGAAACCTCGAGCATAGCCCTCTCCATAGTTGGCTGAGCAACTTTGAGCTCCCTCATAGGTCTAGCAGTGAAAGAGTATCAGATCCAGTCATCACTGGTAGCACGCACTGGTTGTACAATCTAGTTTTGAGGTTTTGAGGTATCGTTGACAAAAAGATATGTCGTAATCTCACCTACGCTGTGCTTCCCAGTCGTGTTGAATCCGTTGATTGAGCCCTCGGTCGAAATTGGACTAATCTAGTCGGACTATTTGTCCCAGGTAAACATACTCGTATAGAACTTCGAGCTTAGTGCTCCCTACAACCACCGGCATAGGTGTTACATTACACATGATTTTTGTTTTATCCATGTTCATCTGTAGACCTATCCGTTGGGAGACACTATTGAGGTCATTGAGCATAGCATACTTTCAGAAGCTCCACTGTAATTCCAGCTTCGCCGTTCAGCGTTGCCATTTTTATTGTGCTGGAGAGCCATTCTTACCTTGCTCAGATCATTGTAATAGTGTCGGATAAGACTTACTCTTGGATTATTACTCACACTTGCGTGTGACACCAATTATGATGTGTACAGCTGCCCATAGAACCTCTGAATCTCACTCAAAATCTCAGGTGTCCCGGAATCTGCCATATTCAGTCTTCAGCTTCGACAGTTGGCTCTTTTTGGCAGACAGATCTCTGGCAAAGACCTTGGAGTCCTGATTACGATCAATCTCTTCTTCAATAGGAGCTATATTGAAGTTGCGTAAGTCCAGCCACATGTGGAGATCTGTCTGTTCAGTTGCGTGTATGCTCACAAATCTGCTAAACGTGTAGCTTCATCTCCCGTCTAACAGCCATGAGATGAAGAGTGTGATCGGAGAGATTTTGTGTTTTTTTGCGACCGGTCTTACAGAACATAGCTCACTATAAGTATTCACAAGCTTATCATTCATATCGTATACTTTATGGCAGTCTTCTAGACACTGAAAACGATTTTTTAGCTTGAGCTGAAAGTTTTCGGAATTTTTGGATCAGAGCACGAAGGGGACGGAACGTTGACTTCTTTAAACATGACCTCTCCAACTTCAAGTTTAGCTTCAGTGTGCCTCTCACCACTCGGTGATCGCCGCCAGTTTTCACCCAGACGATCACGGAGTCATAACTGAATAGTGGTCGTCTAGCCGTCGTAATGAAGTCAATCTCATTTTTAGCCAAACTGTCTGGGCAGGTCAGTCTTCGACCAGGTCCACTTTCTGTGGGGCCGCTCTTTAAAGAAAAGTTCATGATAGTCTATTCCAAACATCCCTACTTTTAGCTCACCGTTCGCTCTTGTGCCTAGTTTTGCGTTGAAGTCTTCCATTAACACTGTATAGTGGGTTTTAGAGGATATCCTAATACATTTCCTCCACCTCCTCATGGGGATGTGCTGAGGTTGGTGTAAAATCCTGTATGACCTTTAGCGAATACCTACCGTTTGATGATTCTGAGTATAATCTACGCAACCCTCGTCGAGACACTTCCAATCTTTATAATGTTGTTAATGAGAGCCTTGTGGACGATAAATCCGAGACCTCCTAGGGACAGATGGTCGCCCTCCCAGTGATAGAACAAGTTGGTGGCTTCAAGGATTACCGTGTCCTCCCCCTCTCTTCGGACCTCAGATAATCCTATAATATCCCAGCGCAACTTGTCTTTCTCTTCTTCCAGCTTTAAGATCTTCTCGTCAGTCCTCCTCATATGTTGCCAAGTCGAGTCGTCTTAGGTGGCAGCCAAATTGCCACCGGAGATTCTTAGTAACCCCTGCCCCGTCGTTAGCATGTTCACCACCGTAGCCAAGAATAGCGGGTTGCCGGGGACTGGCGGCCGTTTATTTGTGTTATTGCTCATGAACGGTATATTGCCATAGTTGCCATGCTTGGCAAGCGGGTTGGCAACCACAGTTTTATAGCTTTTTCCTGTTATCAGAAAGATGCTGCTGCCCATCTTCTGCCTCAGTTTTCCTCTGTCACCTCTTACGACTTCCACGGGAATGATGTATGGGTATTCTTACCCGCCACTACACGGGGGTACCATTTAAATGCTCACCTGCTTAAAATCATACACTACATGGCACAGCATCCTACTATTGTACAAAATAAATTTAAAAAATACATGGAAGTACTTTTCTTATTCAAAATATCCAAATAACAGGGATATACCGGAGGATGTTCTAAACACCTACTGCTGGATCCATTCTACGTTCACGGTGGCTGGAGAGGCCATGGGTGGGGCGTACCCCGGAGTGAGGAGTGCGGGAACGGCTCCCCGTCGGTACGGAAAGTACTATCAGTGGGTGGCTTTTACTCTGTTTTTTCAGGTAAGTCATATCTTAACTTACAGTTCAAATGGACTCTATACAGCTGCAGAAATTATTATTAACTGATTACGGTGAAGCACACGAGGGAAGTAAAATTTTATCGTATATTATCTATGTCCATTTTCCATTATATATATATATATATATATATATATATATATATATATATTTCACTTTTTTTTAGTTAACAAACAGCTCCGCAATAAATTGTCATTCGAAAATGATAATTTATGTAAGAGGTGACAGAATGTAACCTCTGTCTCTTCTTGTTATTTACATATGGGTTACGTATTTAAAGGTTACATACACAATCTAATTTTCTACCAAAAACTATTAAATATTTATTTTATACTAGATTTCCAAAGTCAAAGTTTAGATTAAAATAAATTACAGGTGGATAGATAAATTCTTTGTCCGAAGATCTTTCTATTTCAATTTACCTCTAACCCAGCCGAACTTAGGCGCCGAGTTAAAGAATTGCCTTTTAGGACACAAGACATATAGCGGAGACTTGCAGATCATTGTGAAGGTCCGTTAAAGAAATATTTCACTATTTAAAATAATACTGGTCGTATGTCAACTGACATTGGCTTTATATTTCTGGATTTGCCAGCTTTATCGGCATTTACGCTACAAATCTGCAAACTTACCGCAATTTGGCCAGTAGAGGACTTTACAAAATGACCGCTGTCTATATAAATTTTTATTTTAGGAAATTTATCAGTTTTTGACAGTTGTTTTTAATTTATTGTTGATTCTTTACTGGCTCATTTAAGTTTGTTTACTTGCTATTCGTTCCTCCTGTTTATTTATTTATTATATGGACAACAAAACATACCAACAAAAAGTTATACCAAGTTTTAACATTAAGATGCATATTGTTGAGCCAGGACCATTCCGATATTATATCAATATTTTCTTGTAGCTTACCACAGTCAGAGATAAATCCTGTATTACACAGTATATTTTGAAAGTCATCTGCATAGAATATATAGAAGGCAAGGACTAGACAGTTTACAAATCAGATCATTTATAAATATAATAAAAAATAACCCTGAGGAACACCGGATTTAACTGTAATAAGTGATGACGTGAAAAATTTGAGAGCGAAAAGTTGACTTCTATTATCGAGGTACGAATGAACCCAGTGAGGTAGATTTCCATGAATACCTGAAATAGCTAATTTTTTACGGAGTAAAGAATGATTTACTTTGTCGAAAGCTTTTGTATAAGCAGTGGACACGGCATCAACCTGCCCACTCACGGCGAAAACTTCGCACAAGTAGTTTATGTATTTCAACAAATTAATCACTGTTGGTCTGCCTCTCACGAAACCGTGCTGCTTGCGAGATATAAGGCTTAACTTGAGAGTAGAAATGATCATACAACGCAGATTTAAATACCTTAGCAACACAGCACAAAATGTTAATAGGTCTATAATTTTCGCTGTTGGACTTCCTTCCGGACATGTGAATGGGTACGATATGAGGGAATGGGAATGGGATGGCAAGCACCAGACTTTAAGGACTTATTTAACAATAATGTTAGTGTCATACTTGCCTTGCACAATTTGAGAGAAATATAGTGAGAATTCCATTATACCTTGGATCTTTGCGAGTGTCTAATTTCTTTAATTTGTCTAATATTGTATGCTGACTTAGTTCTATGTTACACATACTGTAATTACAATAACTATCATAATTTACAATATCATTAGTAACCAAATCATGGTTGATGACAGGTTGAGAAACTTCGAAAGCTGAACTGAAGTACTGAGAAATAAGTTCACATATTCCTTGTGTGTCAGAAGAAGATTCCGTACCGAGAGTCAAAGTATGTGGCATACTTGATCTTTCTATTTTATTAATAACAAAATTTCGAAATATCTTTATGTTGTCCGATAGGTATTCCATGGAGGTAATAAACGATACGAAGTTGAATTATCTTCTTTTCTTATACATAAACGGCCATATTTAACCCAGATATATTTATATGACAAGTGTTTGGTTAATCTTGCTGCGGCGTGAAGCTGTTTTATTTCTGGTGAAAGGTGTTCTGAAACATAAACGGTAAACTCCTCTCCATGTATGCCCAAATATTCAATGGGGTTGATTTACTGTTCTTGTTGTAACGTTTGTAAACAGATATCACGTTATTGCGGTTGCGCTCCGATGGTCAATCTACAAATGTTCCACGAGGTCTTTTTGAATTTTTATCAATTTTTGCAACTCGGCTTACAGCTTTGATGTTAGTCTCACTAAACTATATTTTTATTTCTGTAACAGATTATACACAATGGAGACCAAATTTCCGTTTTTCTTTTCTGGCACACACTGTATTTCAAAATAACAGACAGCCTCTAGAATATTTTTCTAATGTGAAGATACGATTGTTTAATTTGTTTATCTGCGATTATAGTGTGGTTTTCCCGTCTCCAGTTTACGATGTTTTGACGATTTTTATTTTTTTTTGAAAATTAGATATTGCTACAAAGCAATATCTAATTTTTGTTGCTTATCACATTGTCATCATGTGTGGCAAAGTGGTCAGTCATCTCTGTGAACTCTACCTTAAGCTTAAATATAGCGCAGTTCATATCCTTCCTAATTGCAGACCTCATATCCGACAATTTTAAGTTCAAGGGTGCGCTAAACTGATCATATATAATAGTCGCTGATTGCTAGAGTCAGGGTGATAGGAGACACTTTTTTCGGTAAAATGAACCGTCTGCGGCATAGAATACTATAACACACAATAGAATGGCTGTCAACCTTATTTTATACTACGATAGGCTTCGCCGGGAGCACACATACAATCAATAACGTCGTATTATCACTACTACAAACCCGATTCACTGTGTTGACAGACAGATTTTAATACACATTTATTTGTAAATAGCGTGCAATTTGGCATTTTTTAAATAATGTTGCGCGCCTAAGTTGACGTCAGGTACCCGGCACTAGCGCCATCTAGTGTCGGGTACCAGAGCGAGGAGGGCTTCCTAGAAGATGTCAATCTTGACTTTCGACCAACAGCGCCGCCGAGTATCGAACAGAAGAATTAAGCTTTCTAGAAGCCCACACTCGAACTTTCTGCGTCTGATCGGTTGGCGCCCGTATCTACGGGAATATTCTGGATGTTTCGGTGTAAAAGTGTATTTAAACCCGCTGCATGCCACGATCGGAGCAGTATTGAATTTGGCGAGACAAGCGAAGCTTCGGAGCGAAATAAAGTTAATCAGTGTGATTAATTATTAGTGTATTTTAAGTTTTAATTGGTATTCGGTAGCAGAAGTATAAATTTTGGTAATTCAATCGGCAGTTTTTACTGTCTCGAACCTCAAGCTCGTAACAATAATTGGAATGGGAAATTTGGAAACGATTGTAACATCAAAACACATCTCGTATTGACGTTTATACGTGTGAATTGACGTGTTAGTGACATTTTAGTGGCTATACGAGCTCCACCTACTCCACCGTTCTATTATGTATGTATTATAGTACTCTATGGTCTGCGGTACTATGTTATCGGAAGACATATCCGAGTTGTCGGTAGGCAGTAATTGAAGTTACTTGCGGACAGGCGCATTATTGCGTTTCTTGCTTACATGATTGACACTTCAATTGTCGTTTCAGTTCATGTGAATTGTCTTTGTGGAAAGATGTTGACAAATTATAGCACTTGTAATGATAACATCCCTTAAACGCAATACATTTAAGCTGTTTGTCACTACGGCTGATTTCATTGCACGCTAAACAATGCATTCTAATAGTATTGTCGTAGGCAGTTTGAAGAAAATAATATGTTACCTGCTTTTAAGCGATATTGTAGCAAAAACAGCGCACACGCAACGTGTTTCGTCTAAATTAATGAAATAATATGAAGCGCTAAATGGATTATTTGTTTTCAAATAGGTGTATTACGCTAATATGAAGAAAGCAAGCGCTGTAGATTTTGGCATCGGTCAATAAGTTACTACTGGAGTTAGCGCTTAAACGACGTTCTTGTATACGACGTTGTTGTAATGAGCGGTCGAGCCGTGGGTCAGAATAGGTCATGGATATATTTGATAATGTAGATTTTTAACTAAATATTTTTTTTAAATCTTTTTGTAATGTTAACTAACATTAAACAATACACTTCATTCACATTCAATAAGTTATTCATTACTCTACGGCACTTTTGACGATATTTTTGATTAAAACACGAGAAGCAGATCTTTACTGTGTCAGCGTAGTTATGATTAACATGTTGTAAGGTGAATACATCTTAATCGTTACGTTTGGCCGCAATTATACCACGAGCGTATAAAAGTAGTAAAATTACAGCCTATATACGCCCCACTGCTGTCCACAGGCCTCCTCACTCTTCTGAGAGCGTGACGACAAGGAAGTTTCTTCAAGATGGTTTTATTCACCGCCGAGTACGTGGTAAATCAGCACTTAAAATTGCAATTAACAATTTCATTGTCATTGGTTGCTCGCGTACTGTGAAGTTTATAGCAAGCGCTAAGCCCCTAGGCAACCGCGTGTGTATATGAAGTTTTAAAATAAATATTATCTTCAACTAAAAGTCAAAATGCAGATGCGTTGCCAGCCCTGAGGACTGAGATAGAATGCCTCGTTTCCAGTAAAAAGTGTCTCCAGTTCTCTACGCTCACTATACGAAACACAGCAGTATTAAGATGCTATTTTTCGCTGGTATTCTGTGAGAGCGTGGTCCTACCCCGGTTGAGCCGACTCATTCGTGCTGCAACCACAATATAGCTGCAGCATGGCTCTACGACTTTGAAAACTCTTACGACTCCCACGGAACAAAATGGTTTCTCTTACGACGCCCCCAACCGGTTTAATTTATTAAAGTTGTAAAGGATTAATTTGCTTTTATACGCGTAATGAAATGATGTGTCTTACCTAGTTTGAAGAACACTTCCCGCCTTCCTTTAATTGCAAGCACCACTCCCTTCACCACTAATCCCAGCACCACTACTCCCAATACCAGTACACTAGGAAAGACTCATCACCGTCAATAATACGACTCGTGGTTGCCTCTACACGAGGCATCCTCAGGTGAAGTAAACTCTGCGATGGCTGACCGACGAGATCTGAAGTAATACCTGATACAATTAATTGGCTTAATTTATGTAAATGTGCATAGCTCTACATATTATAGATTTTTTTATAAAACTAAAATGACAACGAGCTTATAGTCCATCTAATAGTAAGTGGCTAATGTAGTCGATGGACACTTGCAGCCAACTTACAACTAAGAAGGCTACGGGTGCGTTGTCACCTCTGAGGGTTAAGATAGAAGAGTCTACAGCCTGTGATCATCAGGCTCTCTATGTCCTTCAGACTGGAAAACAGCAGAACAACTACTGCTATTTGGCGGGAGAAATAGCCAAGGTGTTCCAAACTGACTTCTTAGCAAAAAATGAGTTAAAAGTTACAGCCTATATAGGTCCCACTGCTGGGTTTTAGGGCAAGGAATTGTTCGTCGCGCTGCCTCAATGCATGTTGGCGAACTTCACATGTCTTCGAAATATTTTTTTCTTGTTTTTATGACGTGCAGGTTTCCTTCACCGCCGAGCACGTGGTAAATCAGCACTTAAAATTGCAATAAACAATTTCATTAGTGCCGGCGGGAATCGAACCCGGTTTGCTCGCGTACTGTGAAATTTACAGCGAGCGGTAACCATCGGAGCTACCACGGCTCAAAAAAGGAGTACTACCAGCTAATTATCTTAACAAATTCACTGCCCCGTTACTCGCATATGAGCCATTGCCATTATCTTACTACTTTGCCTGGAAACCGGACTTTTAAAGTATTAAATACACATATTTAAATCTGAAATGTGATTTTTGTTTTCAATGTCAATGGGGTCATTTTATTTAGTGAGTACTTTAAAGTTTGAATCTAAGACTAATATAAAAACTTTCCACTTGCTGCAATCTGCGTTTGAAGTTACTGCAAACATGTTCATTTACTTTCTAAATCTGTTTAAATTTTGTCTGATTCTAGGACCTAGCACATACCTTGTAAAATTTTGTTTTCAATTATAATATTTTTTCGTATTCTTACATTGTCAACTGATGGTGAGATATGTTCAAAATTTCAAGTCTAGCTCATCGAGAAGTTAGTTTAAAATATATTACTAAATTCCACCCAAACAAGTGAGTTAAAGAAACTAAAAATAGTAGTAAAATAGACAACAATAACGATTTCGTGATGTTTCTTCCATTTTTAAACAGTAATTTAATGATGTACTGTGTAGTGCCCGTGTAAGAATATCCGGCACTTCATAACATACCGTGGGTGTCGTGAGAGCCGACAAACCAGGAGGAGATGCGCGCCTCCCTAATAAATAAATAAATAAATCCTTTTATTTCTTCCAGAAAATGCTGGTTTGCAAAGTTAATTAGCTTCGTTAGTATCAAAAGAAGTTAGTAGTTTATTATATTAGTAGTAAGTAGTTACAGTTTCATGAAAAGAATTTTAGATACGTTAATATTGTAGTGAAATTATTCTGTAAGAACTCCTCTGTAGGAAAAGACCTACTTCGAATTTAGCTAGTGTTCTCTGGATTGCGCTACTTGTATTCAGCTTAGACCTGTTGAGCGTTTAATATCATCCTCCCATCCTTTGCGATGTCTCCCTTTCTTTTTTTACCCACTGACCCTCCATTTTCCATTTTAATGTAATTAAATTCCTAATAACTACTAGAAAATAAAAAACTGCGGTTGCTAACCCGCTCGCCGAGCGTGGCAAGCGGCTATTGCTTGGCAACTGCAGTCTTTTTTAGTCTCCTGATTGCTTTACCGCTATCGTCTCTTACGACACCCACGGGACGATATGGGGTAGTGGATACTCTTACATCGATATTACACGGTCTTGCGTGGTTATGATGATGATGATGATGATGAATTTAACGATTGAGAACATAATATTAATTTTTTATTATTATTTATTTTTTATTTTACATTTTACATATTTAATGGAGTTACAACGTTCAATTTATATTACAAACAATTATAATAAAGAACCTAACTAAAATAATAATTAAAATTATAATATTAAAGATTAAAACTAATTATATACAACATAAAAGAAGAAACTATAATATAGAAAATCTAAAACTAAAAATTTAAATCGTCAAAAAGACCTGCTCCCCGTGGTATAGTGCCAAGAACGCTGGCTGCGTTTCCTCGCTGAATAGCTATACTTAGCCTTTGAGCGAGGAAAGAACCAGCCCTCTTATCACCAGCAGCGACGACCAGTCGTGGATACAGTTCCTTTACACGAAACTTCATTGCACGTGGACCCCACGGACCGATAGTCTATATTAGATTTTATATTAATTTAACGATTGTGAACTTATTAATTTCATACTTTTTGTAGAAACTTTGTAAGGTGGAGGTGTTTAATATATAAATTGCACAAAAAATAATATTAAAAGAAATAAAACAAAATATTTGTAGACCATATAAACATTATAAATAAATTATGTTTTGTGCGGGAATCAAACAAGGATCCCTTTACACCGCAAACCATTCATTCTTTTCTCCTGGTTTAGACACAACTGTATGAAAAAATGTGCCCTAAGAATTTTACCATTTTATTATACATACCTACCATCTCAGTGAAAAGATTTCTTTTTTCCTGTTGTATTTATTGGATCCTAGTATTTACAAAAAGTGTGTTTACGCGAATTTTACATTTATTCTATAAAAGAAAACATAACGCGACAAATACATCTTAATAAATCAAAAGGCATGCTTAATGAAATTCAAGTGAAAAATACTAAACATGCATTAATTTTAGCTTTGATGATCCTAGTGAAAATATTAGGTATTAGTCATATGATTAATGAGTTAACATTAGCTCATGATTGTAAAATTTCCCTCAGACCACTATCCTCCGTGATGGTACTTTGAAGCACCAAAAACATTATGTATAAAGCTTTCATCATGACGTGTCCTCTCCCTTACTTGTGTGTACATAAATTGTTAAAAAATTAATTAATTAGACTCGGTAAAATCCGTAAAATTAGTTTTATTTATTTCCAGTATCCGTGTAAAATATAAGAAATTATTAATTCTGTAAACTTTCAGAATAGAATAGAATAAAATAATAATAGAATTATTCATGCGCCCGGAAGTGGGAGAAATATAAATTACATTACATTAATTCATACATACATATATACGGGTAAAGCTTATAAGAGCGGGTTTAAAATAGCCCAGCGATTTTAGTGAATAACATTGCATTTCTGCCAACATGCAAAGCTTAAGAATGGGTTGATATCACTTCCGTTTTCATTGATATTTTCCTCGTTCCCGTTTCATGAATTAGTCATATTGTAAAATAGCTTTTCTTACTATGGTTAATCACCAATGCTGTTACACTGTTAATATTTTTAGGTAGGTAAATTTTTTTTACCTCTTTTCATCCTAATTCTTAAAGGTGACAACACACCTGTAGCCTTTTTTATTTAAAGTTGCTTACAGATAGAGTATATTGGCTGTGTTAGAAAAATTCACTACCCCGTATCATTCCGTGGGTGTGGTATGAGGCTAGAGGGAAACAAATCAAAAGATCGGCAGCAGCGTCTTCCCAATTACGAAAAAAATTAATAAACAACGGTTGCCAACCCGCTTGGCAAGCGTGGCAGCTATGGCAAATATCTCCCCTATGAGGCGACCTAAGGAGAAGGCCTATGTTCAACAGTGGACTTTTATAGGCTGTGACGGTACGGTAACGGTAACGGCATATTTTCATACGCTTCAGTATCCACTTAACATCACGTGGGCTGTAAGTTTGTTCATCAACATTTTTTTATCAAATCCCATTGCTGAACGTTGATTTCCCCTTAGATTATGATATTTTATAATGACTTCTTATATTTACGCGAACACTACACATTTAAATAAAACTAGTTTTAAAGGATTTTATCGCGTATATTAACTTATTT